CACAGGAAGACCTCTGTGTAAAGATACATCGGAGACACATGAACAAGTCTCTCAATTACTCAGATTACTAGATGATGAGATTATGTTTTGGATGTCTTATTAGCTTCAGGCTGAATGTCTCCCACCTGCGTAATTCACATCACCTGCAGTGTTTAAAGTTGGAGTAAAACAAAATCGGTGATTTGTTTCTAAACCTGTCAGACACAGCGCTCACCATTTTATATTCAAAACTTCCTAACAGTGTATTGCAGAGGTCATGCTACACTTTCTCATTGTCCGTCATTTTGACAGACAGGGTAAGGTGGAGTGTAGGCTTGTTAGAAGTGGATACAGCATGGTGTGAATGAATGGGTTTTAATATCAATATCTTATGCCACATTATCATAGCCTATTACAAAAGTAGAAGGAAGGAAAAATAAATCTAGTCCTCCAATCCACCCTCTGAGCCCTAATGCAGTCAGCGCTGGAGTCCCTGTCATCAGTGCTCAAGTCTGAGTCGAGTCACGAGTCCTGAAAATCTGGACTCAGTACTACAATACTATGAGCACAGACGAAAATTTACGGCCACAGTTATGTTTTTAATAGAAATAGCATTAATGCTGCTGCCTCCATATTGAACAATGACAAAATTATTAGCACATGAATGGTGATGTGGTCTAAACAGACTGTAGTTGGTGGAGGGAGATGATGTCTGGCTGCTGCACTGGACAGATCACCACAGTTAGCTCTTAGCAGGTTTATGCTTGTTTATGTGGTGTAAGAACATATCTCTGTAGCACCAGTTCTCCTGTTTGATCGTGAAATTACTACACCTACTACAGCCTATAGTTTGCTAACTATGCCTTTGGCCCGCAAATGCACCTTCCCTACATGTTCTCTACATGTTCCCTGTGATGAGAACAGGCGGCACATTTCCACTATTGGGTGCAGTTTCAGTGTCTTCAGCCAACACGCCCCCAGCATTTCAGAGCAGAGAATACTCCTTATTTTTTAATGATTTTGAAAGCTGATTTTATATACTTGGCACTGTTTTTAATTGTAAAAATTTGGCTGGGTGGTTAATAACATACCCCTGTGGTGTGACCAAGTCAGAACACAATTATTTTCACTTTACCCCGACTCTAAGACTTCGCTGTAGACTTTGAGTAGATCCATATTCTTACATGTCCTGTGTTTGTTCTTTTTTTTGCCAGTTCAACAACCTCCTATTGTACTGCGTGCCCAAATTCAGTCTAGGAGGGCCCAAGTACACTGTGAGGACACGTATAGGCATAGATGGCATGAAGGTCCTGGAAACAACCAATGAGGACTACCCTCATACCTTCCAGGTGTCAGGGAAGGAGAGGACACTAGAGCTACAAGCCAGGTATGCGCAGAACTCAAGAGGTGTGAAAGCAATCGTTGCAGTTTACAAACTGTAGTCTTATTGCAAAACCTCTCATCCCCTCATTGATGTATATAGCTATGGAATTTGTACCCCGTACAGTATCAGGGCACACCCAAGGTTTATTTTCAGATCCATTAAATCTCTAATTAAACTAACTGCTAGTTTGATATTTTCACTGGTTTTCATGCTTATTGTGACTCTGTTTTTCCTCAGTTCAGAGCAGGACAAGGCAGGCTGGATTAAGGTATGTACAGTTCAATCAACATTTTCAGAAAACATTCTTACATGATTATATGTGATTGAAGGGTAATTTAGAATGGGTCCCACAAGCATTTGTTGTTGTTTTTTGTTTATTCTTCAGGCTTTCCAGGAGACCATTGAGATCTTCCAGCAAAAAAATGAGTCATTTAAGAATGCATTAAAAGATGTGGAGGAAGTGTCGGTCAGTGTCATATCAGCATTTCACACTCGGAGTTAAACTGTCGACTCCTTACTGCACTGTCATACTGAGCATGTCCTTATTTTAATGTAGAACGCAGAGCTGGGGAAGCGTGCCCCTCGTTGGATCCGTGACAATGAAGTGACGATGTGTATGCAGTGTAAAGAGCCCTTCAACGCTCTGACGCGGCGGAGACACCACTGCAGAGCCTGCGGCAATGTTAGTAATCTCGATGTTGTCGTGTTATCCATAATGCAATACAGTACAGTAGAGGTGCATGGGAGAGCACTGCAGTGGAGGGAGTACAACTGTAAACACATTGAGAGACCCAAGCGTGTAAAACGTGCACAGCACACTCATTTTCCTGGCTGAGTGTGATGGTTTTCTACCATACAAAAAATAAAAATTTAAAATTGCATGTTGTAGCTTAAAACAACACCTAAATAAAAGTTAGTGATACTAGTGATGTTTTTTTAAACAGTAATAAAAATAAGATGCTTTAGTCTTGCTGGCTTCAACACTCATGTAATATAATGAACTATTAATTGTGACAGTGATGGCGATCTTCTCTTCCTCTTTCTTACAGGTGGTGTGCTGGAAATGTTCAGACAACAAGGTGCCGCTTGAATATGACGGCAACAAAATGAGCAAAGTCTGCATGAACTGCTACTCCCTCCTGACGGGAGAAACTATAACCGAGGGCAAGAAGAAGGGCATCCTGGAGGTGAAGAGGATGTTTGGATCCATACAGAAATATTCATCTATGTCAGTATACAAACCAGGATTCTCTTAATCTTGTACTGATTTGTGGTTGTCTTCCTCATGCAGATCGAGGCAGCCCAGTTCTCAGGTAGCAGTGTCATGTGTGGCTTCCTGCAGTACTGTGAGAAGAATAAACCCTGGCAGAAGGTCTGGTGCGTCATCCCTGAGCAGG